TCCAAGTACCTAATAATCATAAACTCTCCCAAAAAGTACCCTACATAACTACTATGCGAACACCTAACGTAGGGGCCTTCATAACCAGAACGGGGTTTGGGGACCCAGCATCCGAAAAATTATGATAAGGAACCCCGAAAACAGTATAGGTAACTATTTCGGCCCCGATATTCAGTGCCTAAACCCTAATCCCTAAACCCCAAACCCTAAACCGTGGACTATGCGAAACCTAAGTACCTGATTATTGGGTCCTTTGGACCCGTATGGTCTCTCTCTCGGCCGACCTGACTCAGACCTTGGCGGCCTGGCGCGGTACTGGGATCCATCCATGCTGATGCTAGCGGCAAGTATAGAAATTATCATCATGTATCATAACAAAGGTAGTAATAATAATGATGGACAAATAAGTAGTAGTAGTAGTAGTAGTAGTAGTAGTAGTTGTTGTTGTTGTTGTTGTTGTTGCTGTTGTAGGAGTACTAGTAGTAGTAGTAGTAGTAGTAGTAGTAGTAGTAGTAGTAGCAGTAGTAGTAATAATAGCAGTAGCAGTGGAGTAGTGGTTAGAACAACAATGATAGCAGTGTAGTGGCAGTAGTAGCAGCGTTGGTTTAGTCGGTCGTTCGAAGGATTTTGTTCGCGGGTGCGAGGTCGACTGGACAGCCACAGCTGCGCGGGTCTCACAAGGGCTCTCTAGGTTTTAGGGTTTAGGGTCTTGGGATTTCGGGTTCGGGTTGAGAAGGGCTCTATACAGTGTAGGGCAGTCACAGGGCCAAAATGCTTCCTGAATCTTCTCATTGCGATGTAGACATATGTCGCTTCATTAAGACTCATTCAGAGATATTGAACGCTGCAATGAGCGGCACTGCCTAATCTCTAACCATGTATTGCTTAGTGCAGAGGAATAGACCGCTAAACCCCAAACTTCAACCCTAAACGCCAAATCCCAAACCCTAAACCCGAAGACCCTAGACCCTTAACCCTAAAACCCTGAACCCTATTGGGCTCTCCGGATGACCCAAACTCCGACATCCCAGAGCCCTCCACAGCGAAGGCTGAGGAAGGCGCTTTCCGGGACTGCCCTGCCATGAAATGGATGAACCTGCGCTTCGTTTTAGGGCTTAGGGTTTCGGGTTCAGGGCATTTAGGGCTTTGGGTTTTCGAGTTTAGGGCAGGTTTGGGCAAAACGTTTTGGGTTTCGGGTGGCTTCCTTCCTCAGCAGCAAGAACACGATCCTCGAAGCTTCAACCGAAAGCAGTAAACCGCTCGACTGTTCTTCGTTGGGGGGAGGGCGAGGCCCGAAGCCGCAAACCCCAATTCCCATAAACCCACCCTAAACCCTAAACCTTAAACCCTAAACCCTTAAAAGCCCCTAACGGACCCAAGGATATCGAACTCCAGGCAGAGAGGCCTACTGGCCGCAAGGATGCTGAAGGCACCCAGCAGGCAGTGACACAGGCTGCAGCTTGCCCTGATGGGGTTGCACCCGTTTCATAATGGGGGGTTTGGGGTTTAGGGTTTAGGGTTTAGGGGTTTAGGGGTTTAGGGGCCTTACCAGTTCGAGGAGGGCTCCTTTTAAGGGCGTCTCTAAGGGTAATATAGCGGCCTTAATCATTAGAATGGGGGTTTGGGGCCCATTGTACTATGACTATAATAAGGAAGCCCCAAAATAGTGTTTGTAATTCTTTAGGCCCCTACATTAGGTTTCGTGGGTGTGCTTAGAGTCTCGGGCTCAGGGGCTCAGGGGTTGAGGGCTCGGGAAATGCGGGCTCTGGGTTTTGGTAGTGGTGGTGGTGCCAGTAGTAGCTGTCGTGGCCGTGGCTCGTAGCAGACGTTGTTGTAGTGGTTGTATTCTTAGTATCATATTCTTATTATTACTTTTACTATGAATTATTATTGTTCTTAGTATTACGTGTACGTACTATTAACGATTCTTTATTCTTATTCTTATACTTATTACTTTTACCATGAATGATTGATTATTATTTCTACTATTAGTTACTATGGTTGCTATACTTAGAATCATCGTCGTCATCACCATCATCCGTGGTAGCCGGAGTGGGAAGCGAGCCTCCGAGAGACCCCGACGAGGAGAGCCTTCAGCCCTAAAGCCGACGATGCGGAGGAGGAAGAAAGAGAGGAAGGATCCGGACCAGGGGAGGAGCTGGGAGATACCCACCAGAAAGGGCAGGGGCACCGTGCTGGTGGTGGTGGTGGTGGTGGTGGTGGTGGTGGTGGTGGTGCTGGTGGTGGTGGTGGTGGTGGTGGTGGTGGTGGTGGTGGTGATGGTGGTGGTGGTGGCGGCGGGGGTGGTGGTGGTGGTGGTGGCGGCGGCGGTGGTGGCGGCGGCGGTGGTGGCGGCGGCGGCGGTGCTGGTGGTGGTGGTGGTGGTGGTGGTGCTTGCGCCGGAACTGTAGGTGCTTTGTACAAGTTGTTGTTGGTGGTGCTGGCATCTCATTCTAGCCTGTCTCGATCACGAAAGCTTAAAACCTAAACACCCTAAAGCTTAATCCTGATGAAGGAGGAATTAAGCTCCTGCTGCTGTTGTTGTTGCTTCTGCTGTTGCTGTTACTGTCGCTGTCGCTCTCGTTGCAGTTGCTGATGTTCTTTGTTGCTGTGACGACTGTGGTTGTTGTTCTTCTTGCTCGTGCTCTTCATCTGTTTAGACTTCCTGTTGGCGTTGTTGTTTGTTGTTGGTGGTGGTGATGGTTGTGGAGGTGGCGTCGTCGTTGTTGTTGTTCTAGGACTGCTAGGGATCAGGATTTGGGGTGTAGGGCTTTGAGGGTTGGGTTTAAGGGTGTCCGCCTGTGGCGTTCAGGGTTCAGGGTTTGGTTCCCAATCCGCCTGTGCAGGTCGCTTCGCTGGAGGGATGCCAGGAAGATGTTTATGACCTGGGACCCTAAACCCTAAACCTAAACACCCTAAACCCTTAGCCCCTAAACCCTAAACCCTCGGATGGCCCACTTGGTACAAGGCCGGCTCTTTGAAGCCTTCGAAGACTGTTCGCAAATAGGGTCTTCTTAAACCCAAATTTGGAGAAAAAACACAAAATATCCCAAAGGCCCGCCTAGGGTCTTGCTTCTATGCTGACTACGGTTGTTGCTACCATGTGATTAAGAGTACTGCCGCTAGAGGACCCCAAATTTGCTGAGAATCCCACTTCTCTCCTAACTTTGTGCTCAACACGCAAGCATCACAGAAACAGAAAAAGACAAAACTTGGACGACTGCTCCCAAAACCCTAAACCCCAACCCGAAACATCCCTAAACCCTAAACCGTGAAACCTTAACTCTGAACCCACTCTAGTATCAACAGAAGGAAACAGAACATCTCGGGTTGGACCTGGAAGCAGAGAACCTAACATCGTAAAGTTGAGGGCTTGGGGCATAGGGCCTTGGGTCTGACTTTGGGGTTTAGGGCTCAGGGTTGTAGGCTTAGGGTTTAGGGCTTGGGGTTTGGTGCTCTGGTCTAGAGTTTAGAGGATAGTTATGTTGAAGGAAACTACAGGTGGGGAGAATAGGGTATATAGGGCTTCTATAAGGCTTCTATCAGGTATATAGACCTTCTATAAGGCTCCTATAACGGTCGGTAGCTACCCACCTGAATATGTCCTAGATTATGGGAGGGGTACTTAAACGGGACCCATTGAGCTCTGTGACTGCTGCTGTTTTTTTCCTTCTAGACGGCCAATATGACAGTCTGAATATTCTTGTTGTTCTTCTGGTTGCGATAGTTAGAAGAACTACGCGAGACCCATACACTGCTACAAAACTCTTCGCAATTAACCCTAAAACTCAAACTAACATGCTACAACATTCTTATACACCCATTTATCATCTCTCAGACTCCAGAAAGCAGTGCCGGCGTCACCGGGGACTCTTTGACGGATCCGGAGACTTAGAGAGGGAGGTAAGGAAAGAAACAAAAGTCTGCATTGCGTATAGCTAAAGACCCGATTAATGTACGGAAAGCCTTACTGTCTCGAATTCAACCCGACTCTATAATCCCTAAACTTTCCCAAACCCTTGAAAAGCTTGAACTTAAACTTCAAATCCTTAAACCCTGAAGCCCTGAACCCCCAACCCCCACTTCAAACCGCACGATCCTCATAAACCCCATAAGCCCCTAAAAACCCTCAATGCTACTGAGACCCGATCCTCCAAGCGCTAAGGCCAGCACCACGAGGTAGTAGAGCAGGTTTTGGCCGATATGCGTCAACTCTGCGTCTAGCCACCTGGAAGGTTCTTTGGCTGTTAGGGTTTAGGGTTTAGGCTTGGCTGTTAATGTCCGCTCAGAGGTTGTGCTCTTCTTGTAAAGAAGAACCCCGAGGCAACTTTTCCATAGTGTAACGGTACAGAGTGTTGAGGTGTTTAGGACTTTAGGGCTCGGTATTAGGATGTTTGAAAGAGACTTGTTATACGGATGTGTGAAACTCTTTCCTAAACCCTAAACCCCCAACTCTTCTTTCTGGTCAGGGTCCCATCAGGAGTCGGGATAAGCACCTAAATATGGTTGATGATATAAACCCTGCATTGCTCGTAATAAGGAGTGTATCATATTGCCCATAGTTTAGGGTTCTCATGGTAATGCAGGTTTTAAATCATGAACTGTAGTACGGCACCCTTATAAAAAGGACCCTGAAAGGAACCCTAATTTAGAGAACTACTCTAGTGCTTCAAGGCCGACACGCTTTTCTCATGCCTCAGAGCTTCTGTGTTTGTTGAGGCGCTTGGCTGAGGCTCTCCGAGCATTTACTCTTCAAGGCTTAGGGCTAAGGGTTTAGGGCTTATGGGGTCTAGGGCTTAAAGTTTAAGTTTGAGGTTCTCCTCAGCACCCTGCTTGCTAAGGCCCAGCTGCATGAGATGGCAGAAACCCTCGCTTCCATGGCGCTGCGGCCGGAGCATAGAACCAGAGCCGTGCGCCAAGGGCCTCTTCTCCATTTTGGAATATGTCGCAACCAGGCCATCCTCCCTAAACCCTAAACCCTAAACCTAAACCCTAGACCCCTAAACCGAACTGGGGGAAAGCTTCCGGCACTCGGCTTCGAAGCGGGTCTTGTACCCGAGCCCGTAGGCCGGGTCCTGGTAGTCACTGCCCTTGCCACCCGTGTCTTTCCCATAGCCTTTGAAGCCAACAAGCATCTGCTCCTGCCACTGCTGTCGCTGCCGCCACTCAGTGAAATGAATAAGCCGGCCAAAATGGGTGACGCGGACATCCTCAGACACAGTCTTTTCTTTGTTTGGTGCGATATAATGTATAAGAGAGTACAGTATAATAGAATACCATATAGTAGAGTGTAACATGATATAGTGTAATAGAATGTGATGTACTATAAAGACTCATAAAGACATGTCCTCAGGAATTTCAGTCTTCTGCCAGAGCCAGCCGTCGCCCAGCCACTGGGGGTTTCCATCCCACTTGTCACGGTCTTCCTCGTAGTAGCGAACCGGCCGAAAGGCCTTCTCGCTGTAAAAGTTCTGAGCATCGAAAGCTGCGTCCGCAATGCGATTCTCACTGATGCTGGGCCATAATGCCTAGGTTCCCCAGTAGCACCTTAATAATAAGGGTACGCTTCTTCCTACTATTTGGTTTTATTCAGGGAATCTAAAAAGAAAAAGGGCAAAAGGGTACTACTGGGGAACCTAGATGCCGGAGCAGTGCTTCGGATCCGACTGCGGCCCTGCCGCAGATCTGGAGACAATTGCAGCCGGCGAACGATGAACCAGCATCTGTAGTCTGTCTGGCGCAAAGACCTGTACATCATGTCTTTATGGACCCCGAACACATTATGAGGCTCCGGGTACGGATACTCATCCGGCCCGTCATCATCGTCCAGCATCCACAGCTCTTCCCTCATTGATGTGACTTTGATCGCAGAGGACAGGTCGTCCGACAAGCGCATCAGAACTCCACCAGAGTGCACGAAAACTGCTCCAGACGGACCTGCAATAAGCGGGCGGGAATATGTCAACTCTCCATTAAAGTTATCGCATTTCGGAAACCAAAAGAGAAGCCGATCAGCGTCGCCATCTGCGCAACCTCGTCGCGACGGATCTCCAAGTGTCATAGCAGCTTGCCAAGCAGATCCAGCTTTCTGGTACACCCGAATCGCATGTTCGCCGACAAAAGTAAGGAGAAGAGAAGAAGAATCGCTGGACCACGCAATGCTGCTTACCGTTTTTCCCGGCAGGTCTCCGGTCAACGGGAACTTATCAACTCGTTCCAAAGCCTTGTCACCCCGTAGCTGTGTGAAGACTACGTCGTGCCCTGTAGGACCGGCCTGAACGAAGATTGTACGCAGACTGTCCCTATCCAAGCATGCAGCTTCACATCTGGTACTTGGCTCTGTCAGTCGATGCCACTTGATCACTGCCGGGCATAGCTCCATTGAGATCAGGTGCACCTTGCTGCCGATGAAGACTCGCGCCACTGCAACGCCGAAGGAAGGGATCGGAAAGCCCTGCACCGCTTCAGCTGCCAGTATCTCCGCGGGCCAGTGCAGCGGGTGATCAACATCCAGCCGCACCTCCACAGCTTTGCCCTCGGAAGGCAGGATGATTAGCGATCCCGGCGCAGGGTTGGGGTGCCTCCTTGGCTTGAGTGTCAGCTTGCCCTTCAAGAGGCCCTTGCCCTTAAAGAGGTCCTCCTCATCGCTTTCGGACAGGCAGCCTTTTCGGTCTCTGGTAGTCTCGGTCTCGGCGGCAGGAACAAACTTTCCAATACGGGCTCCTTTTCCTGGGGCTATCATGCTCTGGCCCTAAACCCTAGACCCTAAACACCCTTAACAAACTTTCCAATACGGGCTCCTTTTCCTGAGGCTATCATGCTCTGGCCCTAAACCCTAAACCTTTACCCTAAACACCCTTAACAAACTTTCCAATGCGGGCTCCGTTTCCTGGGGCGATCATGCTCTGGCGCATGAGCAGGACCAAGCCAGAGCCTGGGTCGAGACCGCAAGAGTGGACGAACCTCTCCGGGAGGACGACGTTGGTGTCGGAATCCATGATTTGCAGCTCCTCCAAGAATCCACCCGCCCCAGGGAGCTCTCTCCAAAGGGCTTCCAGCTCAGACTCACCTTCACAGAACTGCAGCAAGAGCGTCACATGCACCGAATCTGCTGTCGAACCATCCTCCAACAAAGGATCCAGGTCTTGAAGCGTCCTGTCTGCAATGACGATCTGCTGCGTTGCAGGCGGAGGACCCACCTTCTCCTCGATCTTCGCCTTCAGAGCCGCACACTGAGACGAGGAATCCAGGAAGAACCTGCCAAGCTCCTGTCCCGTAGGCCCGCACACAGCAAACTCCACCTCTCGCGCCATGTGCCCAGTTCTGTTGATGTACCTGTACCTGCACCTTTCTGTGAAAGAGCCGCAGTAAATATCCGGAATACGGTTTGGGGAGCAAGTTTGAGCATCATGGTGTAGGGACCATCCGGGCCCGTCTATGTATGTGTCAGTCTTTCTCATTAACCTTTACAACTATGCTTACAGTCCTCTGAGCTGCAATATGCTCTCCCACATGCGTAGTGTCTACCACTGCCTTGCCAGCCGGCTCGGTCCTGTCAGTCTTCGGCACAAGTCGGCGAGTTGCACGCGGGTTTACTCTTCGCAAGTCGTGGCACGATTCGGTTGGCTCACCTATCTTCATTTAAGTGCTGTTGGCGTGGCAGCGCGAGCAGCAGTATGAAATCATAACCCATCGTTGCAACACAAGTACTGGCACTGCAGCTGTGATCAGACGGTGCATCGGCCTTGTGTTTACATCTTCTCCTGTTATGCTAACCTGGGACTTTCAGAAACTGAAGGACTGGTGGGACCCTAGACATAAGGACCCAAAACTGATCCCAAACTTCAAGAGACGCGACGAATCTTGTGAGTGCCAGCTCTCTATATCCCGGTAGGGTTTAAGGTTTAGGGGTTTAGGGTTTTGGGATTTGGGGTTTAGGGTTTAGGGGTTTAGGGTTTAGCTCGGTACCTCCAAAAAAGACACAAACGCGCCTGAGGAAGGCATTGAAATGCCTCAAGGCCACCTGGGACTAGGATTTATAGGGTTTAAGGGTCAAGAGTCCCTAAACCTCACCCTTAAACCCTAAACCCCAAAACCCCAAAAACCCCAATTTTTTGGGGGGTTCCTTATTATGTTTCAATTATCGTATACTATACCCTCTAATTATGAAAGCCCCTTTCTTACTGACATTCGGGTCTCGGCTTTGAGGTTTAAGGTTTGGGGTATGGGGCGGTTTTGGTCAAGGGTTTAGGGTTCAGGGCTTATAGGGCTTAGCTCAGGATTGGTGGCAGTTCCAAGGAGGCGGAGGGCAAATGCTTCCAAGCCGCCACGAGGCCGCAAAGGATCATGAGGGCTGCCAGGGGCCTTAGCATCGCCAGGGATGGTGGGCGCCCTCCTCTGCGGCACCAAAACAAGACTAAGTCGGTAAAGCCATAATATACTCGTATCATGATACTGCGGTGATACTACGATGATTCCATCTCGAAACTCTACCAAAACTCTACACAACACTGGTACTACATCTGCGGCTCTTTTTGGGTGCCGAGGATGGCGCCACACGGATGCCAACAGCCACAGGGGCGATGGAAGCCCTAGGCTTGCACGGGAGGTCGGAAGCCCTAAAATCACGGTGAAGGGCTGTTTAGGGATTCGGGTGTAGAGTTTGGGGCCTTTTGGGTTCAGGGTTTAGGGTTT